TCCCTCCAAACCTTTATTGGTGTACTTTGCGCAACACAACCTCCTTCTGGGCACCAGTGGGTAGGAGAATATTTTTTTTTTTTTTTTTGTTATATAACGTCCAATTTATGATAGTGGTGTAAATTAAATGAGCGATACTCAAATCACCTCAAGGTCAAGGCAACGTTAGGAAATATTCATATGATTCGATTTCGAACATAATCGTGGCACAATTATGGAAAATTAAGTACTCATTTGACAAAAAATTTGATTATATTTAACTATTTTCCTAAGGAGTGTCAGTTTGAAGTTATAAATCAATAACTGAAAAAATGCAATTCTTAATTGGCAACTAGTTTTCATTAATTTGGTTCATAGGAGCAGACTGCACAGGATATTTTTCTTCAGGGAAATAATTGGTTGAAATAGAAGAAACAGCGTATAATAGGTCACGTTTTTCTGCTTGAGCTTCCGGTCTATGCAGCTGAAGTCTTTGGCAGGATGCAGTGAAGGAAGATATAATATTCGAAATATTCGCAGAAGTTATAAAAATGTATAAAAAATAAATATAAATACATACAAACAAGGTACAAAATGAAAATTTTCTCTTCTTATATTATCTGATGCTTAATAATTTACTTAAAGAAGACTTTTGTGTTATTTTAGATATAAAGCTAAAATTAAAATTGATTAAGTATTGTTAAATAGAATATAGAAAATGTTAATAGCATGCATTAGAAGAACGGGAGATAAAGGAAAAACATTAAGAAGGTAAAATAAAATACGAATTGTAAATATATTTTCAACAAATATGTGAAATATAGAAAAAAATATAACAAACATCAGTAACGTTTTGATGTTCTAGCAGTGAAAACGCTGCAAATTATTTGACAATGGTTTATTATTTCCAAACAATTATACGTCTAAACATTACCTTCCTAGTGACAAAGAATAAGAAATAAAAGGTGATTCCAATGTTTGGACTAAACATTTTTTTTTTTAAATTAGTAATATGCTAAACAAATCAGCATTACTTTAGTAACACATTCAAAAATCAAAGAACAAAACAAAGGATATAATATTTGCAGTAGAACATATAAAAAGCATCTAGAGACCATTTCTTTGCTCCTAATTCCCCGATTTTACTCTTTTTTTTTTGTAAATTCCATAAACTTTTAAATAACCATACAATACTATATCGACAAAAAAGTGTATACTTTTTGAGTAATTCGGAACTTAATTTTACCATACCTCTTAACTTTTTTCCAGCTTCTATTCGTTGATGTGTGGTATATAAATAGGTGCATTCGTTTAGGCGCTACAGTCTAGCAACGCAGGTTTTTCTTTTTCTTTTTTTTATCATCCTCGGATGAATTTTAAATCCAAATTAGAAAAAAAATCGGTCCAGTAGTTTCGGAGAAAATGAGCCAACGGCGAACGGACAAATTTTTTATTCGTTTTTCGAATTCTACGTATCCTGAAACGTAAAACCTCAAATTGTGAGAGATAATAATAAATAATAAACCAAAAGAAATGTCTCTGAAGATGGACAAAGAGTCCGAAACGTTGGACAGATGAATAAATTGACATATACGGAGCAGAAAAGTTTCCATGCTTTATACCTAAAAGAAAAACGACTCATTTATTTAAAAAATAAAAATAAACGAACTGTTAAAAATAATCTGAGAAAAGTGGTGAGGTTTGAATTTTCCACTTCAAGTTTTGTTTTGATATTTTCGATTGCTGAGGTACTCAAAAAGAAAGGAGTGCATCATGCGATAGTGCACTACATTTATTCAATGAATACAAAGATATCAATAATTTGATAAATCTATTTATTTGTACTTGAATAAGAGATAACATTTGTTAACCTGGTTTAAAAATCAGTAAACATAATTATGTTTACTTACTTATTAAAGACGATTTTTAGAAAAAAAATTTTCTGAGATGTTTCATCAACCATTGTATTTTATAATAGGATTGTCTTACATCACTAGCGAATTCGAGGAGTTGTAGAATGATTCCCTCCCTCAAATAGAAAATTTTTGTTCCATTGGTTCATTTTTATTTAATGCATCCCAATGTTCATCCAGTCTTAGTATAGTAAGATTTTAAAAGGATTTTCAATTTTATCATAAAGAAAACCAAACAAAACTTTCTATAATTTGAATCTATGTCTTTCTTTTTTTAATTGTTCATCAATTTTATTAACCATTGAATTATATGTCAATAATAAGAATATAGGATGAAAGGCATAAACCTCCTTTTGTGTTATATCATCATTAATTTTCATACAAGGAGATCGCACATTCAGCTTCTCTTCATTTTTCCACGGGAGTTATATGGCATAATTATTGAGTCTGTAGAAAAATAAATACAGGAGTTTAAAGCCATCTGTAACGAGACGAGATCGATTAGAAGCGTGAGAGAGCGATCTGAGAATATAATCAAATCAAACGTCTTATACGGTATTTATCCCTACTTTTCTCTTGTGTAGCAAGCGCAACGAAGAAGGCAAAAAACTTAAAAAAATTTAAAATGTATATTCTATGTTTATTTACCTACCTCCGTTGCAGTGTTGGGGATTCTCTTATAGACCCTGGACCGTAGATATCTATCTTGCGTCATTTCTTTTCTCCTTCTCCAATCCATTTCCCTGCTTGCAAATGCTTCCATTAGACCTTCCTCCCATTTTCTCCTTGACCTTTATCTCGGTCTAAGACCGTCGACCTTTGTCATATAGGTTCGTTGGCTATTTTATTTTCATCCATCCAGACGAGATGTCCCTACCATCGGAGTTAATTTTCCTCGTTCACTGTTCGTGCACGTTTTACACTGAGGTTCGTCGTTATAATAGTATTCCTGATTCGATCTCTTCTTGTTTTACAATGAATTTTCCGAAGGAATCTCATCTCAGAACTCTGCAGTAGATGCCTTTGCTTTGTCGTAAGTGTCAAAGATTCACTGGAATACGTTAGTATTGTAATGAACGTATTTTTGTATATAACCACCTTTGTTTTTTTTAATACTTCTCTCTTGTTAATGAAGCCCCTTTAAACAGCATTGAAAAAATATATATCCGAAACTATCCTTTCCCTAATCTCCGTATCTATAAGTCTTTTTCATGTTAGGTGTGTTCCTAGATACTTCCTAGATAGAAATAGAGCTATTTTATTATTACTCCAATAATGCGGACTATACGGACAGTTGTGATCCCGAAGCTTTCCAATCTTTCGTTTTTTCATCATTTGTTTGCATATTAATTTTAGCAAGCTCGTGTTAAGGATGAATATATTAAACTGAAAATCCTACTATCATTCCCGAAGATCATCAATTCATCAACTTATAACACACGGGGCTTAAATTTCAGTAGCCGAATGGAAAACCTTTATTTTATGTTTGGCTTTCTTCAGAGCTGAGTTCAGGAGAACATTAAACAGAAGAGGGCTAAGACAACATCCTTGCCGTATACCACTGACAGCTTCATATTCTGCACAGGTGCAGTTGGACGTTCTAATTTCCTATTCTATGAACATTCCTAGTCCCATGTCCACTCACAGCTCCTTCAGGGTCTTAGCTAAATTTTCCTTCCTCGTTTGATTAAAGACTTTTGTCAAATCTACAAAAAAAATAACTTACTTCCTTCCCCTTTTCGATCAGTTTTTTCGGATATTTGCCTAAAAGTGAAGATAAGGTCTGAATACTTCTGTGATTGCGGAATCTATATTGATCCTCGTCTAAGCTACTATCGATCCTTATTCTCAGTCTTCTTTCCAGGATCCGTGCGTATATTTTGCATTTTCACTTAATAGAGAAATTTTTCTATGATTTTTGCTCCTTCTGTTATCTCCTTTCTTGGATATCGGAACAGTGGTGGAAAATTTCCAATCCTTTGATATCCTTTTTTTTCATCCAAATCACGTTGATAAGAAAGAGAAGAACTATCCTTCCATTTCCCCCCATGTATTTGAACATTTCAGGTAATACACCATCCCTGCCAGCTGCTTTTTCCATCTTCATATTTTGTAGTGTTTCATCGAACTCTTCTTGATCTATAAAATCCTCCTCCTGCCAGATTCTCTGCTGTTCTTGGATGTGGCCATTGGTTCCAGACCTAAGGTCGATTCCACCAAGTATTATATCTTTGCTTTTATTAAAAAGTTTTCCGCTTCTGTTTTCTGATAGGCCTCCTTTATTTCCGAATGGATTTCAGAACTTTGTAGAAGAGTTCTTGGTTTTATTTGAAATTAACCTCTAATATCTGTCCCAATTCCTCCCGAATTCCTCTTTGACAGGATTACTGCTGCCTACATTATGTTTCTTCCATTGTTATAAGCATCTTAGTCCACTGGGCTTTTTTCCAATATATTTCAAGTTAAGAGGTAATATTAAAAATACGATTGGTGCCTACCAATGAAAAAAGAATTCAGAGAAGAGGAGAACATCCGTAAATCAAAAATTAACAGCTTCATCAGTTATTTATGATGGAAATCTTTTAAATGTGAGATAATTTTATTTGGAAAATACAATCTTTTTTTTTTAATTGAAAGAGAAAACACATATCTCATAGGAAATTATTAAAAAAGCAAATTTACTCTCAAATAATATGAATACTGCTCATGACTTATATGTTTCAAGTGTCTTGCTCGATTTTTCACCTTCTCAGTAGTTCACACGTTTCAAGGGAAGGGATGGTCGAATGAGCGAATGCGTGTGCACAGCACCGCGAGTTGCCCAACAACCAGATAAACTAAGTTATGGGATAAAAAGAAGAACGAGTTCGCGTCCCGGGGGATTTTAAATACCCCTCCCTCACCCTCCGGCTCTGGAAAATACCGTATAACTTAATAGGCGAGGTAGGGAAGAACAAAAAAAAAAGTTCACACGGTTCGAGTCTCACATGAGAATTCCCAAGGAAGCTAAGCTGGGGGAACTGAGCAAAAATATTTAGGATTTTTTATTTACGCTTTTCATTTTAATATGAAGATTTCTCAAAATTAAATTTTAATAGTAAGTGTTGTTTAGGAATATATAAATATTTATTACAGTGATATTTTATATTTGTTTTTTCAATGGATTTATATTAGTTTTTCTTTTCAATGCCGGCCTGTCTTTTTTCGGAAGCAGATCGAAGTAAGCCCTTTCACACCCGAGGGCTGTACTATTCTTCTTAAAATTCAAGTCCACTCTGTACACTCCATAAGGCATAGCGGAAACTGTGTGCTTAATGTTATTAAGGGAGATGTTCATCACTCTGTATGTGCCCTGAAAAAAAAATTAATACTAAGTCATAATTGTTAATACCTCTACCTTAAATTAAATAATTTCAATAATATATTTATCTACCGCAGGAATCGGACAATCTTTGATATCGAAATCGGAGATGAGCGCCTGGAACAGCTGAGGCATGTAGTGTCGGAAGGAGGAACAAAACTGTTCAACATCGAACGTCAGGTAATGAGGTCTCCAGCCGCCATTTCCCCAAACAGCAAAGTCAATAGCTGCCTGTGTCAATACATCTCATGTTTAATTAATTATAAAATTGTTTCAGTTTTTATTTAATCTATTAACAATAAACATTAACTTTTAACATTCAAACATCCTCTCTGTGAGGCTCAACGTATTTGCTGAGAACATACTGGAGGAAAACCAGTGTGGATTTCGGAAGGGGAGAGGAACAACTGATCAGGTCTTTGTGATGAGACAGATAATGCAAAAAGCCTGGGAATATAAGATTGACCTACATATGCTGTTCATAGATTACCGGCAAGCTTTCGATAGAGTAATAAGAAGCAAATTAATAAATGCCTTACATGAATCCCAAATTCTCAAAAAATTAATAAGGTTATTGCAAATGACTATGAATAATAGCAATGTAAAAGTAGTTATTAAAGGCAATGTAAGTAATAGCTTTCCAATGACGGATGGAGTTAGGCAAGGGGATGCTTTGTCTGCCACATTATTTAATATTGCACTTAATAATGTGTTGAAAAAACTTAATTCACCTGGTTGCATACTTAACCAATATGAGCTTACGCAGACGATATATGCCTAATTACCGAGAATTTGAGATTAATAAAAGAAATATTTGCAATATTGAAAGCCGTAGGTGAAAATGTTGGGCTGGAAATCAATCAAGATAAGACAAAATACATGTATGTTGGAGCCGACAATGAGGCTGGTCCACAGAGCATTGAAATATGTGGTCTCACCTTCGTGTGTGTCAAAAAATTCACATACCTGGTGGTGGAAGTGAATTCTGAAAATAAAATTGCTGCTGAGGTGTACAAGAGGATCATGGCTGGAAACCGGGCTTACTATGCCAACCTAAAATTTCTTCGATCATCGCTTCTGTCTCGAGAAACACAGATAAGACTGTATAAGACTTTAGTAAGACCTATTGTGACTTATGCAGCGGAGACATGGATCCTTTGTACTAGCACAATTAGTATGCTGAATATTTTTGAAAGAAAAATATTGAGAAAAATTGATGGAGCTGTTTGTGAACAGGGTGTGTGGAGGTATAGAAAAAATGCGGAGCTATATGAATTACATAATAGCGCCAACATAGTTAATTTCGTTAAAATTAGGCGTATGGAATGGTTAGGCCACCTGGTTAGAATGGACCACAGCAGGATGCCCTATAGGGCATTGCTCTCTACAATGTATGGCACAAAAAGAAAGGGAAGACCAAGGAAAAGATGGTTACAAGATGTTGAGAGCGACCTTAGAACACTGGATGTGAGAAATTGGAAGGAAAGAGCGAGCGATAGGGACGATTGGCATGCTATAATTCAGGAAGCCAAGCCCACCCTGGGCTGTAGAGCTACATAGTAAGTAAGTATTAACAATAAAATTGAAAATAAATATATACTTTTTTTGTGGAATAGAGACAGGAGCTCGTACTTCTGGACTTTTGAACCTTGAGGCGGCCTTTGAACCGGTCCCACGGCAAGAAATATCGAATGTTTGGAACACTGCTAAAAATGTTCCGAGAGGTGTCATTATATCTTAAAATCTGTATTCATAAATTAAAAAAAAAAAAAAGTAAGAATCAATGGAATAGAATCATTCCGACTGATACAGTTGTCAAGCAGTGAGATAGCATGAATCCACGCTTATTAACCTTAGTTATGGATGCAATCCGTCAAACTTCTAAAGAGTGAAGAGTCCGACTGTCATTGGTAAATGGAACATGAGGAAGATACTCAGCCAATCTCTCTTGTATGCATATGATATCGCCCTCTTTTTTTATGGGAAACAGAAACTGGAGCCCTACTGTGTAATGCCAGGTGGAATTTCAGCGAAAAGAGTTGATCATCCATCAACGCCTCCAAGAGTAATGTACGGGTCGATTCCCGAGAAGAAAATGAGAAATTAGAGATGGTCTGTAACGGGGAGGTTCTAGAAGTGGTTGAGAACTTTAACTTTTAATATAGTAGAAGGTTTCATCCTCCGATCATTGGACATGCATGTAGGTAGCACAGGTTAAAGATGAGTTTATGGAGTCGAGACGCTCCTTTCCATGAGTAGAAGTATTCCAGTTCTGTTAGGACAGAGTGCTTCTAGAAACAACTTTGAAACTTTTTTGTTTCCTAGAATCCCGATTGAGTTTAGTCTTATTTCCGACTGCTACCTTAATACGTCTTTGACAAAGTTGAGGTTGATATCAAATATAGGCTCTGGTACCTAATATATCTGTTCTGAGCCCTACCTAGCAAGGCTATCCGTCTCTTCATTACCTAATATTTCGAGTGTTCAGAAATCCACTCAACTCACACCTTGTTGACTCCAGAGAGAGTATGTAAATTGTCTATGGGTTCATCTTCTAACTTATTAGACTAGTTGGTTAATGAGACTATTTTTCAGGACGCGAGAGGTGTTTTAATGGCTATAGGTGTATATACTTTTTGCACTAGTAGTAGTGATATGTTTGTTCAGTAGGCATTGGATTTTTTTTTTTTAATCACGAATCATCAAATATGGAATCTGCAAATGCGGAACTCTTTCGTAATTCAGTATTCTCTGATGAGCAAAACTTGTGGATATCAAACCCGAATATGTTGAGAGATCACTGGATTTCCGAAAACTGCTTCTCCCAGAGATTTTACTCTCATATGAAAAATTTCAGATCTTGTAATATAGATATTTTTTAGCCAATGGAAACGGTGAGGAAGCTATAGTGACCTTACTTGGGAGGCTTTAGAATGGTAATTAATAACATTTTATATTTGGTCTGGGATGCGTTAACACGTTAATATACAGGAACTTGATAGATGAGGATGAGCCTGCAAGTAATTGTATTAATATTAGGAATATTCAATGGTGTAACTGTTCAGCAGACCTGGATGTTGTCATCAAGAGGTACCAATGACGTGATGTTAGCGGAGTAGGTGTAAGTGTTGCGCCCTCTTTTGGTGATCTTCGTGCTGTCGGAAAAGATCAGTTTTCTTCCTCTGTTTTCACAATGATCTATTCGATGGACTGCCAATTTGTAAGGACCCTGCGAACAAAACAAAATTTGTACCCATATAAATCCAATCCACAATCATTTCATCCCTAAGCCAAGGTTTGTTTTAAAATGTTTCAAAATTTCATGCGTCCTGAAATTGGTAAATTTTAACCCCTTCTATTTTATTTATTATATATTAAATTATATTTGTTTTAGTTTTATTCAGCCAATCGATTTGTACGACCAAACATAGACAATCTAATTTCTTTCGAATGAACTATATAATAAAATTTCAAGCATCCTGAAATCGGTGATTTTTCAACCCTATAATTACAATTATTTAATTTGAATTATTCTATAGATTACTGAGAACTCGAGGAGGTATAAATCGCTATTGTTTCCTGCATAGGATACATTCATTTTTATTAAAATTTCTAGCCTCCTAAAATTAGTAAATGTATTACTCCAAAGACAGTTTTTTAAATTTAGCAATCCTCCGATAGGAATTTTCATATTAGGATTATAAGATTGGTGTATTTCATAAAGTTCAGAAGCCTTTGCATGGTAGCCTTTTTCCGAAATGGCAGAGAATGCTTATTTTAGTTAAAATGCTATACAGTTTCTTGATTCATATTCAAACCTTCTAAAATGGATATTATTTTTTTTATCCAGGCTCCACTCCTGCATCAATGTACTGAAAATTTTAGCACAAAAAAAAAATAAAAAATAAAATAAAATAAAAAATAACGAAATATGCGATAAATTAATTTTGAATGAGAAAAGCGTCGATGTAAATATCAACGAGTCTTTGAACATTTCCGTTACATATGTGCTCTCCTAAATACAGAACACATTAACACCGTTGGTAGTGTAATGGTCTCTTCTATTCTGGCATTGAAATCACCCTTTAAGATAATCTTACTATTCTTGTTTTACCATCCATAACATCGCGAGTAAGATACGCTGTGTTAATTAGTTTGACATCCTTGATATGGCCTGAAACATATTTAATAAACTGGCCTGATGAAGGGAAAAACGAAGGTACATGAAGGAAAGAAAGAAACTTGTGTTCCTGAGTGGACTGCAATCCTCAATTAGCTTCATAACTACATTTATCTCTTTAGCTTTTAAAGTGATTTATCAATCAAATATATAATTCATTTGTTTTGTAACTTTTTAATGTTTCGTAAACTTTTTTCATTGTAATCTAATGATTTTGTAAACATTTTTTCGTATTTAAAATTATTTGTAAGGAACCCAAGGTTGAAAAAACCGAAAAGTAATACAAATGAATTAGTAAATGCTTACTAAAATTTTATATCATATTAAAATAAAAAAGTTACATGAGTGGAACGCTACCGTTGGATCTCAAACAAGATTTTTTAAATATTCTTTACAAACCATTTTTTTTTTAATTAATCTTTTTTTTGTCCACTTCTTTCCTTTTAGACTGTACGTGTTCTTTCTAGAGCCAGGAGAGAGGACGTGGATTGATGCCAGACACTAGCGGATCCAGGATTTAATTTTTGGGGGAGGGCTTCAGCCCGAAAGCTTATTTTTTCATAAAAATAACAATAATTACTTTGGTAAATAAGAAAGAAAGTGACTACCTATATGAACTGGTGTTTAAGTGATTCCTAAAGGCCTTTTAAATGTAATTACACGAATAATTATACTTTAAGAGATATTTTTTAAATATTTTTTTCGATAAAACATGGTTATATTTTACCATTTTGGAGGGGGCTTCAGCCCGAAAGCCCTCCTCGTAGATCCGCCCGTGATGCCAGACTTAAAAGTCTCTGGCGCAGGGACGCGTAATTATTTTATCAAGCAAACTTCGGTTTATCAGATTGCGTGTTCAAAACGAATTAGCTCGCATGATTGCCCGCTCTCTTACATTGTTTGCAAACCGTTTCATTAAAAAAAAATCATGTAAGACTCCGGAATTTAAATATAAGAATTCTAACAAAAGCTCTGTGAAATACAATGAACCAAAAATTCCCCGCTTCCCTAACAAAATAATATGTAATATGACTACTAGTGTGCAAGTTAAATCAAGACAAACCAAAATTATAAGATCTTCATTGTCCCAACTGAAAACTAAACACTCAAATACAACCCTTAGAATATCACGCGCATTATCGAACACGAGTACAAGAAGTTAAATCAAATCTTCATTTAATTCGAAATATTAATCTTAGCAAATTTGTCATAAAAAAATATATGTGCATCAATTTCTATAAGATTCCATACATCGCACAAGCACGTGGCCTCTTGAAATTAAAAAAACAATGATACAACGAAAAATATTTTATTTGTTTTATTTTTCACAGAATTGGAAAATTATGGTTACTTATCTGTAAATATGTCTAATACAGACCATTTTTTTGTCGGAATACTCCAGCTGACTGTTTGAAACAGAAACAACGGCAATCACAACAGTGATGTATAGAAAGCAGTGAATTCTAGCCATGCCTGGATGATACTGATCATATCCGTTCTTTTAACCTAGTTCCTGCATTTTTCTATCTAGATAGTATAAACAACTTTTCAAAGGCCATATCCGCAATTTTTTTCTCTTAAATCTATTCATATCCTTGAGAAGATTGCAAAACACCGACGATCATATATGTAGATATTAACTTCATTTTTAATTTCGTTCTATTTTATAATTATATAAACGCAAATTTGTCATTTGTATATTACAGAAAATAATTTATTCTTATTAAACTAACACCAATTGGGTCAGACTCCTAAGGCTAAATTGTGTTTAAGCCAATAAATATATTATCTATCTAACAGATTCTTGTTCTTTTAAGTCTAAATAAATTAAATTCTAATTTTTATCAAAAAGAGATGAAGAGATGCCCGGCATTTTGTGAATGACGGTACACACAATTGCGGGACGAATATGTGTTAATATAGTTATAAAACATGGTTAAGTTTATTTTTTCAAGGTTGTGATAAAGGTATTATATATTAACATCAGAGATTATTTTAACATAAAACCAGTTATTTACAATTCGATTAGACTTTTTTTCGGTAATTCTACAACCTTGGCTATAACCAGTTATTTTTGAAATAATAAAATAACCATCAAAAATAACCAACATTGAAAAAAAGTGTAATAATAATATTGAAAAATTATTTTAAAATAAGTCTTACGGTTAGTATTAAATTAGCAATGTTGTTTTTCTATTTTCTTTTATTTCTTGTTCTTTTGGTCATCCAAATCTCACATACTAAGCCACGAATTCTTGTTACTTCGAAAGTGTCTGTACCCAGCAATGCCATAGCCAAAATAGTGATAAAACATAGTGCAGTTGTCCCCCTCTTTTAACATCAATACAATTTTTTTTTTTTTTTTTTTAATTTCGTAATGATATTTTCAACTGTATTAAAGAAATACATTTAGTAAATTAAAGAAATAAATTTGAACATATGGATATAATGACGTGAAAACATTTGTTGAGTAACTACCCAATGGTAGCATTCTAATGATATGTCTACATTAGGAGATCTCGGGGCCATCTACTTTCCAGATACCTCGGAGGGTTATCAGGAATTGAAGAGGAAGCAAGGTTAGAAACGAGAGGGTTGTAATGATTCTGAAGTTTATTATGGAAGGATTGGTATCTGGATTTAGCCAGATCTGAAACATTAAGGTCATTATGGATGGTTTTATTTGTAACAAAGTAGGGAGCATTGAGTATTTTACGAAGGATTTTGGATTGTAAGGATTGGATACGAGAGGAATTCGATGGTTAGTATAGTATAGTGGAGCCCCATAGCTTAATTCCGTAAGTTCAAATAGGCCTTATTATAGTCATTTATATGAGTCTTTTGTAATTAATTGGAAGCTTAGAGCGTTTGTCTAGTAAGTGCTGAAGTAATCGGAAACGTCTAGCGGTTTCTTGTCGTTTCAGTCTGGTATGTTGAAACAAATAAAAATAGAATAGCAACAAACATCAAAAACCCTTATTAGGATTATAAATAGTCAAGAGTATCAGTCTTTTGCAAAACTCTAAAAAAGAATATAACGCCTACCAGACAAAGCAACAATAACACCAATAAAGTTATTATACAATTCGTGTGAAAGATGACTTACACATTTGAAAAATCCAATTCGTCATGTTGAAACAGACGTAATGTTATAAAACTCAGTATATGACTGCAATTAGAGTGCCATAAACTGCTATTTACACTCTAATATTTACTAACACTGCGGTTAAAATTAAATACAGAAATAAAGGTTATCTCTCTAGAAACAACACAATTTTATTCTATCAACATCGGAAATTCTAATACAGATAGGACTTGGTGAACGCTCCATATACATGAGATTCTCCAGTTGTTCATTAAAATCTTTTTAAATTGTTGTTTAAATACAGTTTTCAAAATAAGAACATATAAAACAACATTAAAAAATTAGTAATAACATTAATGAACTTACCTTTAAAGATATTTTATAAAGGGATTAAAAATAAAATTTCGTCAAGAACGGTTACCAAATTCCCATAATTAAAGAACGATTAGTACATAATTACTAATTATTGTCAAAAAACAGTGTGAACATTAAAAAATTCTTTTTTTTATTCGATTAGTTTTAGTTTAGTTTTCATCATACTTTGATGAGTAGTATTTTAAAATAATTAACTCAATCATTCAAAAAAATAGTCACTATGCTCATTCAAAAAACTTGCTACTATTTATGTTATTTGATGAATCAAAATAAATAATAAAGCTAGGTCTGATAGGCCGAATTCTGAGGGCAAGATAAAAAGTGCAAACTGATATAAAAACTGACGTTTTTTTATATCTCTATGCAGAATATTTTATTGGAGTGATTGAGTGGATGGATATAAAAAACACGGAGCCTTCAATCACCAAAATTTAATTCCAGAGGATCACTAGCGGATCCAGGATTTAATTTGGGGGGGGGGCTTCAGCCCGAAACCTTTTTTTTCAAAAATATAACGATAATTACTTTGGAAAAACAGACAGAAACTAACTACCTATATGAAATGGTGTTTAAGTTATTCCTTAAGTACTTTTAAATGTAATTACACGAAAAATAATACTTTAAGAGGTATTTTTTAAATTTTTTTCCTATAAAACATGGTTATATTTTTCCATTTTGGGGGGGGGGGGCTTCAGCCCGAAAGCCCTCCCCCCGTAGATCCGCCCGTGCAGAGGATTTACAACATTATAGAAGAGAACCTTGTTGCCGAAAGTTATTTATAGATATCCGCTGTTTTCATAGCCACACAGAAGTCGTTGAAAGAGTTGTAAATTTTGACATAGAATAATTACTAAGTGTTTTTGGTACTCAAGCAAAATATGGCTTTGTAGAACCAAAAATTGCTGCACAAATGATTATATCGAAATTCGAAACCACAAACATTTCATCTAAGTCTAAAAAATAATTAATCGAATTAAAACATATTTTTTATGTTTACATTGTTTTTTGACGATAATTATTAATTATGTACTAAGCGTTATTTAATTACTTTCTTTAGACGTTCGTAAATTCTAAAGGTGGTTTTCAAGTTCAAATCCAGTAATTTTGGTCTTTCCGACTTGTGTCGATTAGAAAGATCAACAACGTTAGACAATGACGTGTTAAGGACGGAAATGGAAGCAAATCCCTGTCAGACAATTCAGTAGTGTTGCCCAGATGCGAAATCAAGACGAGTTTTGGTCTTGCGCACTCCGTCTTGGTCTTGCGTAAGAGTCTCGTAACAGTCTTATAGTTATACAGTCTTCAAACAGCTTAACAGTCTTCAATTAGCTTATTATTATAAAGGTACTGTAATTTTTCAGATAGGGGAAACCTAACCTAGCAAAGCGCAAGACCTAGACCGATTGTGGGCAACACTATAATCGAGGAATTGTTAAACAGTCTTGAACATCCTTGTTCGACCATCCAAAAACATTTGCAGCGGATTAGGAAACCACGATAATATGCAACTTATTACTTCAACGCCACAATATAGAAGCGTTTTTTTGCTCTCTTGATCACCGGAGATGAAAAATGGAATCTGTATGATAATTCAAAACGCAAAAGGCAGTGGCTCTATCCAAAAGTACTGCTGTCAGGTTTACACACAAAAAAGGCTCTTTTGTGTGTTTGTTGGAGTATTTGCGGCGTTGTTGATTTTGAAGAGCTGAAACCTGGTCAATCTGTAAATACAGACATTTAATGTAAACATTTGGATCGTGCAAATCATTATTTAACTGAAAAGTTACTAACGATCGTCAACCGAAAAAGCTTTATTCTTCAGCACGAAAATAAAATATTGCATTGCGTAAGACGTACACCGGAAAAAAAATTAATGAGTTGGGGTGGGGTACTGCCTCACCACCACACTCGCTCGATCTTGCACCATCGGATTTCCATTTGTACCGATTATATATATATATATATATATATATATATATATATATATATATATATATATATATATATATATATATATATATATATATATATATATATAAACCTGGAGAATAATTCGTGTGCCTAGGGGACGTTGCTTTCTCTGTACCCACGTTCCTTAGACACAACCTGTCATATCTTTTCTTTTTCATGTTCTTATCCTGGTACTACAAATGAGATTTATTGAATAAAACACAAATAAATTTCTGGAAGAACTGGTGCACGTAGACTTGGGGTTGATGATGCCTTAATACTTGAGATTGTGATGGCCAAACGTGTTAAAGCGTAAACTTTAACACTCTCGAGACTAATGACGCCGGTTTGAATCCGGTCTGAGTGAGTTAAAATTTATTTCGTGGTGGACCCACCGAATAAATCTCGACCTTCTCAGTTTAGAATAGGTTAAGGCAAACTTCTAGAACAATCCCCTCCTCCGCTCCGTACACCAGGAATGAGGTAGGGGTATAAATTGTACTGAAAATTATTTATCATAAAATCTCAGCATCAGGTAGAAAACGCAAAATTTTCTTTTCAAATACTAAATAGTATGAATTGTTTATAAGGTAGGTATTTAAATAGAAATGTAATTTAATTTAAATTGCTGAAGCTGGGTGCTTGTTACTCCATCTACTCCTCAATCCATTTAAAGGTTGCCTTAAGAATGACAAAAAGCTTCCTATTTTATGATATTACACAATTCTTCCTGATTTCACTCCTTCCCATCTCAAGTTTATGTTCTCCTAATATTGCAAAGTTTTATAAAAATTGGCTTCTATAAAGCTGATTCTGATTTTTATGAACAATTTTTTTTTTTCATTTGGTCCTCAAATAAATAATAAACATCATAATATCCACCATTTTAATCCAACTGTAAAAACTGTTTGCCATTTAAAATTAAAGAAACAATACAGTTAGGAGATATATGCTTCCCATGAAACAATAGATGCACTGTGTTGATCGCTGGATATTTTTTAGTTTCTTTGAGGGTGATAAACTTTGTGGAACCATCTTATCATTTGTAAGAAATTTGGAATGGACAAAAAGGGCTTTTTATAAGTTTGTTTACTTGGTGTTTAATGTATTTATTTCTACCAGGACAGGAAGGAGAATAGGTTATCTAAAGGCTACCAACTTATTTTAACACTGGTGTGAAGGTCAAGACTTGATCCATGGGTCTATCATCTAATTAATTATGTTATACAAGAATAGGATGGATAACCTCCTATTGCTGAAAATGAAAATTAAATCTTTGAATCAAAAAAATAAAAATAAAATAAATAATTGTGTAACAAGGATACAAGGAAATGGTACAATTAAATTTTATAACTTTCATTTTTTTTTAATAGAGATAAAAATACATTGAAAATAAATAAATATATATAAAACAATTTAATTCTTAAATATTAAACCAAATTTTTACCAAATGTGCATATGTATCTATAAATATATTATACACTTTTATAAAAAAATGTCAGTTATGTTTAGGAATTATGATCATAAATAAGCAATAAGCTATGCTGAACTTTACGAGAAATTCTGATAAGAAACAATATTAAAATGCATTAAATCCATAATGATCTGAATTAAAATATCGTAATTGTAGATCCTCGTTGTGTTCAATTTTATTTATTTATTTTTTAAAATTTGTAAATCAATTACTCGGAACAATACAATTTCAATGAAATATTTGAACAAGATTATGAGAAGATAACAAAAATAAATAAATAATATCAATAAAATGTTTTGAAGTTTATATCTCCACAAAACATAAATTATTTTTCCATACAAATCTTATCTGTAATCTGTACTTTTTATCTTAATCAATCAAATCTTCAATCACTTCAATGAAACAATCTGATTCTTCTCGGCTTAACTTAGAGGTCTTAACAATCGCCCAATAAACAGAATTGTATCACCTTTCAATATCAAGTAAATAAATGGATGATTGCAGCGCATTCGTCGTGGTAGAGATACAAGCTGAAACGAAAAAGCTAAAAAGAAAATGTTAATTAAAAATTGAAATATTGATTAAAAATATTAGAAATGAACTTTTGACAATACCAAAATTAATTGTGATGAACATAGAAATATTTCTAAATTAAAAGTTTTTAAGTGCATTGTTTTTGATTTATACTTAAATTGATCAAAGATTATTGGCGTTTTATGATAAGTGCTAATTATTTAATAAAAATAATTATAGTTCATTTACAGATATGTAATAAAAAATAAATATCGTACTAAATAATTTAAAAAAGTTATGTGCAAACCAATATATGATAATGACCTAATAATCCCTCCTAATGACAGGATCTGAGAAGAAGGTAAATTGTTTCCAAGAGTAGACAAATTCTATTACCTTGACTCCACAATAACCTCAATGAATGACCAACAGTTGGAAATAGACCAGTTATAAAAAGCGCAAACAAAGCTTTCTTCACTCTTTCGAAGGCATTGAAATCATGAAAACTCTCAAATTAAGGGTGTACAATGCTATTATAAAGCTAGTTCTCTAATAGGGCTGCAAGATCTGGATCGTAACTAGCGCCTAGAAAGAAGTATTGAAAGATTTAAGAGAAAAATCCTCTGCACAATAATCAGAGTGATCAGTGGTCAGAATATTAATGCATGGAGGAAAACGAACAATGAAGAGCTGATTACAGATACTATACAATCAATGTCTCATGGTATGAAGGGAAGGAAGTTAAGACGTATAGCTCATAGTAATCTATGACTAATCCTCTACCCACAAATGAATGCCTCAAACTATTGAAACTATTGAGGCAAGATACCACATAATGGTAAAAAAACAGATGGGTAGACCGAAAGATGGAGAAGGCTGATTAAGGGGGCAAAAGATCTACAATACCTGCAATGCCAATGAAAAAAAAAAGTGCAACCAATTTTTACTATTTGATTTTATTAAAATTTAAGATCACAGATTCTATAAAGTACAATAAATATTTAGGAGGCCTGTGTGGTTGGCAATGGGTAAGCATATTAGCTTACCTGTATCAGTTGGGCCAGGTAGAAAAATTGGTAAAAATATAGGTCACTAGTAAGAATACGGCAGACGGAGGGGACAAACTAATACTCTCATTCTAGTACTTGGGAGGTAGATTAAGTGACAAAATGAACCTTATGTATGTATATACATATGGAAATAGTTTAAATTTAAATAATTAGGGTATTTAAAATTATTTATAACTAAAAAAATATTTTAAAAAAAGAGTAATTTAAATAAATCAAATCTAGATTTTTAATTCACATTTATGTTTTCAGGTTCAAAACTAAAAAATAATTAAATAACCCTCAAATTAAAGTTCATGTATAGAAATTAATATTGAACAATTTGGGAATAAATGATTGAAAAAAGCAATGACCACTAATTTTAAGAGTCATTTTAAAAAATATTCTAAAATCTATCAAACAAAAATTTACCAGAGCCTGCAGCTGCCTCAGTGCCTTCTTCATTTACCTCAATCAATGCTTTCTGTGTTACTTTATCAATTTTTAACGATTCATTTGAAATTCTTGAGAAATCTGCCAAGTTACTAAAAGCTGTTGGCATTCCCATCTGAAAGTTATAAATAGAAAAATGAAAACTATAAGGATATACAACTTTAATATACTATGAACGGTGTTTAACTATTTTTTTTTTTTACCTTTTGTAGAACTCTTACTAAATCCATATTTTCTTCAACTTTGAATCTTGGAAGATATACATCTATTTCTTTACGGACAAGTCGAGACACCTCAGCGAAGAAATCATTATAAGTCAACTTGGATTCTAAGGAAGCTAAACCATTATAATCATCTGGTAGGATTATAATCATTCTGTATCCTTCTTCCTGAATAAATTTTATTATTTATATAAAATTATATCTGAGAAGGATATGATTATCATGATTTTAACTACAGTTATACGGAGTAGGTGAAAATAGTTTTGTTAAAACCAAAACCTGAACTGATATAAACTATCTTTTACAGAACATGAACCTTTAATCGCTATCTGGTGTATCATTATTTTTATAAATGTTATTTATTTGACTGACTTACAAACATTTCTAATAACAATTACAATCTTTGTAGCTTTTTCCCCCCTAAAAACCAAAAAAGAACAATATGGAAATAAAAAAATGACATCAGTATCGAGGATTTTGATTAGAGAATAAGAAATTAAAATCAATCTAAAATTAAATAATAATTTATTAAAGCAGAAAAGCACTTTATGGATGAAAAAACTACCCAACCATGAAGTTAAGTTCACCAAAATAGTTTATTTTATTAATAAAATTTATATTTCTTAACATTAAATTTTGAGAAATTTGAAACAAAACTATTTTCCTTACCTGATATGGCAATTCAACTATTTGAGATTTTAATTTCATACTATACATATGTGGTAAAGATTCCTGAACTAATGCCATCATTTGGACTACTACTACTTCATTTGATGAGATGAAAAAATGACCTTCCCTAGTATTCATCTTGTCAAAGGGATATTTCCACAGAGCTTTTAAATAAACAGCATTTGCCAAAACTAATCTGGTGGATGGTGTCAGAGAGCCTAGTTAGAAAATAAAAATCTGTATTATGTAAATTTTAGTATTATTTCTAGAGGATAGGCAGAAAATGCTTTGTCCATGCCTCGCTTTCATAGCTAACCACTGTTTTAACTATGGTTTTATAAATCCAGGCATTAATGGTGCATGACACCATAAATAAAAAATAAAGATGTATAATGAAAAATAACCAAGATATATCCATGAACATTGACAGAAAATAAGAGAACTCTTATTTTATACAATATTTCTATAAATATTACCTATGTAAACAATATCAACCTTAAATGAAAATTAATTCATGATGGTAAATTTGATTTTACATTTTACTTTTAGACAGAAATGTCTGTTTGGTTCATGCTATTAACAGTGAACTTTAAAAGAAAATAATTATTAGTTGTTAAATTATTTTCTTTGGTATTGAAATTTTTTTAAAAAGTATGGTATAAAAAAAAATAAAAATGATCCTCTGTCCATCCCCTTGCATATATTACATTCCTTTCCTTCCTAAAATATCAATCTCTATCAAATCTAAAAGTTGAATATATTTTTCTTCAAACATTTCATTATTAAACTAAAAATTATGTTTTAAGCTGGACTATTAATTAACTCAACTGACTTCACAATAATTTCCAACATCATCAGATATTTTACAAATTAGTTCTTAGTTCTTGTACACTGAGACATTAGTTGAAACCTAAATGAGCCAGTCATAAAAAATAAAAAATTTACATTTATTTTGTTGCATTTATTTATTTTGTTAAAAAAAAATAACATGTAAATTAATCCCATGCCTGTCATGTTATTATTTCCTGTATCGCCATCACATTTGCTGATTTTCAACAATAAGTTGAAAGGCGCTAATACATTTTTATAGACAAAAAGAAATGCACAAATCTGCATAGCTGTGAGTTTAAAAAAAATTTACTTGACATGAATTTATTTTTATGAAATGATATCGAATGTCATTAAATAAAAATAATTGATTAATAAATATTCATTTAAACAGATTTGATTATTTTTTGGGTTGAATGAAAATTCTGAAAAATGAAAAACAGACTTATTAAGGACATGTCCATGGCTGACATGCTCATTAGTAGGTGACAGAAAAGGAGCTGGATGAGAGATCTCCTTTCCTGATTTAAGGATGTAAACAGACCAGGGAAGAGGTGCTGCTGGGTACTATTCTTCATCATGCATATCATGCCATTTTGTAACATAACAACAAATCTGCTAATTGTCACTATCATGGCGGTGCCGGTAGATGGAGATTTGAAGATAAAAAAAAGTCAAAAAGATGATAATCTATATCCCTATTAAGCTTTAGTCTCAAAATATGGTTGTCTATCACTCAAAGCTATCTCTGAGCCAACTGAAATTTCAAGGTACTTGTCATTTTTCTGAATAAAACCCTTTGGTTGAAGAATCTAGTCAAGAGGTACACATGCAGGAATTTTAATGTAAATTCCTGAACTATTGTTTTATTAATTTCATTCTGAAATATATAGTTTCATTTGATTGTCAGAATGATATATATATATATGAAATATTTGACCAGCATAATTAATAATCTAAAATTAGAACATTAAAAGCAGGAATTTAATAATCTTTGAAAAATCAGTTACACCTGATGGAAACAGATTTTTTATTTTATCATAAGTATATTCTTCTATCCAATCATTTATTTTTTCTCTCGAGCCTTCTGGATTTCCTTTGAAGTCCAGCCCTCGGATATCTGACAAGAAGTAGTTGGAAGCAATACTTTGGAAGTCAGGTGATATTTTGGAAGTTTTTTCCAAAAACATTTTTGAAGCAATTTTCAAAACAGGACTCTGAAAAAGTGAAATTAAATTTAATCTTGTCAAAGTTTATATTGTCTAAATCATTCATTTGAACATAATAAAAATATACATTTTTTATCAATTTAATTGCAAGTATACTTAAATAAATTTAAATAATCATTAATATAACTGATTAAATAGAGTTTAAAAGTGTATTATAACATTTGAATAAAATTTACATTTATTCAAGAAGTAGCATTTTATAACTATCTAAACTAGTGCTTTGATTCTATTTTATATTTATTAGAATTATACAAAGCATGAATAAAGGTCCATACTTTAGGGTGTATTGCTCATGCCGTTAATAGCGAAAAAAGCCTATCAAACATTTATCTGTAAATGTTTTATAACAGAAATAAAAGCATTAAAAGTTGATATGAATGAGTGAACCATTTTCAATTAGTAAGTCATTATTTTCATTTTGATTTGCCTGGTCTTTTATCCATTGTTTTTGAGTCACATTTAGTTAAAATTTTCAGCTAGTTTAGTATCATTTATAACATTGTGATGAAAATCTTCTACCATTTAAAGTTAGTCTCGAATTATTTTTCCACTGTCATTTTGTTCGAACTCTTTTTTTTTTCAAGTTAGTGGAATGTTATATTCTACCAACAAATGTGTTAATAATCATTATATTTCCTGATATTAGAGTTTCAGCAGCAATTTTTTGTTTAAACTAATTATCTGTTTTTAAAGGTGACACAATTTATTTCAGCTTTTATAGGAAACATATTTTTCTAAACTTAACAATTTAAATACAAATTGCTAAAAATAAATTAATGTTTTGAAAATTGAAAAAATTCTTACAATTTTATTTTTACTGCTTCCACTTATTATAATGGAATTGGTTATCAATAAGCTTTCTTGTTACTTTTAATGTTACATTTATACCACATTGTTCAGTACTCATTAATGGCATTGTTATAGTTATACAAGAATATAGGGATTAAAATGGAAAAAACATTTTTTTGGACAATTAAATTATTGTACTAATATTTGTTTGTTAATACAACCTAAATAATGTACTAAAAACGTTATTATATTATTATAACGTTATTATGAGTTACTTTATATCGTTATAATGTGGGCTGAACGATGTGGCAGAACATTCTAGGCGTCTATACCAGTGCTGCTTTTCAACTTCAAATATTCAAATATTTTTAAAAGTAATGTGTTTTAGAAAGAAAAATGTTTTCCCCAGATGTTTTAATTTGGAGCACTTTTCTTTGTTGTTGATCATTTATTTACAAACAACACTGGATTTTCTACTGTAATTTGAAAAACTTGAAAAAATTTCAATGGTTTTTGGAGGAATGCAGCGAACCCACAAAGCATTAAAGGGCGGAAACTTGGATTTTTTATACCCTAACAATATAAAAAATAAATTTTAATTACCCGATCTTTTGCAAGATAGACCTTTTTTGTGCTAATTTGACTGGGCTACTAAATTACATAAGCAATATGCCCTTAAAGTATGAACCATTAGTCATGGGACTTCTATATATATCATATCTTTATTTTTCTATTCAAATAGTTTAGTGGAATAGAAGATGCAGTACCCAATGGGGTAGTAACTTCAAAACATTATAATGGCTTAGGTAACTACAATTACCCGCAAGTCTGTAATGAGTGATCTGTAGCCTTCGAGGAGTACAGCATTGGATTCTGAGTGATATAGCACTCTCGCTATTTCTGCTTCTGTAGTATTTCTTGACCCTTGTTGCACCAAAGCTAATATAATCTGCAGACTGATTGGTGAGACAACAACATTTTCTGAATAACTTTGTAAAGCCTTCACAAATGAAAATACATTATAAACTGAAGTAAATAGATGGTAACAATTGTTGTAGTATAACATATAATATAATATATGCCATTGTGAATATACTCTGACAGATCTACAGGAGAGATTGGAAGAAAAGGAAAAATGATATAATATGAAATAATGTACATAAAGGGATGTTAAGAAAGAAAAGAAAAAAGAAGGATAAAAACAAAAAATAAATAAATAAGAAAATGAAATTAGAAGAATGAAAATAGAGACTTATAAAGTAAGTAGTAAGCAGTAATAATTCTATATTTTTATTCTTGTAATTTTATTTACTTATTTATTTATTTTTTGTTTTTCTTCTTTTTTCTTTTGTTTCTTCACATCCCTTTATGTCCATTATTTCATATTATATCATTTTTCCTTTTCTTCCAATCTCTCTTGTAGATTTGTCGGAGTATATTTACAATGACATATATTATATTATATATGATACTACGAAAATACATTATTATTTTATAAATCTATTTTTTTTTAAATAAAATAAGAAATGTGGACCTCAGAGGTAATCTGCACTATATCAAAATGGTACTATATGCCTATATTTACATTAATGCTCTGAGCTTATTAGTTGAATTATATACATCAAATATATATTATGTATAAACTTTGGTTTAACATTGCTAGCTGAAAAATAATTTATCACACAAAAAAAAATATTTCAACTAGATATATTCTAACTGTTGTACAGGAAAATTAATTATAATTAAACAGTGCAGTTTACCTCTGTGCACCAAATATAAGCCAACAAAATAATCTATTTATACCTTATAAAGATTAAATGCAAATCGATTAGTAGATTCGGACATGAACTTTTCAATTTGTTTTGTACATCCTAAGCACATTAAAGCTATTAGAAATACTGAAAAAAAAAGATAGATCAAATGTTATGTATTGTGTATAAAATAAAAATACAACATTAAAATATAAAGATTAATGCCACATTGTATATAGCTATTAATTAAAATATAATTATGAAGGAATAATAAAATATCTTGAGGGACATTGGTCTGAACATTTTGTTTTCTTCTACAAAATGAATGCTTTCAGAATTGAATAGAAGCACTAAGCTAATAGTTTCCAATCAGTTGGAGCTTGAGTTGTCAAGCATTGAATATATTCCTGTTATCTCTCACTAAAACGGATGTTCTTCATATATTTTCATGACTAAATAACCAATATCCTATTACACAGATCTAGAAAACAAAAAAAATTGTCACCTAGAAATTTATAGCTGATTTAGGTTCTACTGTACAAATGTCACTCCACTTCGATAGGAGGCATAAAATCTCCATAAATGGAGTCCTGAGAATGATGGAGTCTGTCCAAAAGTAAAAGGAATAATTCGAACTATTTGGTAAGACCTCAATCTCCACTGAAAAGAACTCACAGAGGGTATGTTCATACCTTTTGAGTGAATGGGAGTCAAAAGCAGCGATTAAAGTAAATTAATGCCCCGATTTCAACAAAGAGAAAAATAAGTCGGTAGTTTAAGGAAGTTTTAAATCTCCATCCAAATAAAGTGAGATTATACTGACACCTCAATCTTCGAAATCACATCTGTAGTATGATCCTGGCCCACCTACCAAAGTGGAGTGACAATTCATATTTATATCTGGGTGTTATAAAATTAATTTTTAATATGAAATCAGTTTTTCTCTACTACCTCTACGTTTTTTAGATACATCTATTTCAATGAATGAATGAAAATAATTTTACTATTTTGGAACTAGTGTCCCTTTAGAGAAAATTACAAATACAGAATATATATTAATATTCTGGTGTGTCCATGAAATACAATAAAATATTTACAGGATGGTTAGTAATAAAATAAAAGTACAGATAATAAAATAAAATAAAAACGTACATAAAATAAACAGGGAAATAAAATAAAAAAACAAAATATTAATAAATCACAAAATAATCAAAGTATCTTTGGGGGTATTTTGAGATTCTTACGACTTAGGTTTTTAAGAGCATTTCATGATCAACCAGATTGGGAATGAACTAGGTGTTTGAAGAGGAGAGATTTGAAAGAGTATACTGACTTTGTGTGTCGAATATCAGAGGGAATAGAATTCTAGAGGGAGACAACTTGAATTAAAAAGGATTTGTCAAACGCAGCAGTGAGAAGGAGGATAGAGATCGGACGTAAGGGGTCTGGTGGGACGGGATTTAGAGGAGCATTTGAATTGTAGGATATGTAGAATATAGGAGGGTCACCGAGTTCTAATAGCCTGGAACAGGAAGGTAGAAAGGAAATACTGACGGCGGTAGGACGGATTAAGCCACTTCAACTCGGTGTGAAACTTGGTAATATGCGTATTTCTTGAGATCCCGAAGATAAAGCGTATTGAGCAATTCATTAGACGTTCAAGTTTAGCTTCCAGTTCTCCCGAGAGTCCACCATGCACCATACAGCCATAGTCGCATTGGCGAAAAACAAGAGATGAAACCAGGAGTTGAAGGGTTTTTAATCGAAGAAGATAACGTAGATGGTTTAACTGTTCCAGGTATATAAATATTTTGCTTCTTTTCTACAGAAGGAAAATAAGTGTTGTGTTCATGCAGGAAGTGATGACTATCAGTAGACAAATCCAGGTGATTTATAGAGATTGGTGTCTAGATGGTCCAATAATAATTTTATCAAAGTTTATTCACTACTTTCTCTACCTTGGAAAGGTATGTAGTTGCTTCTTAGCACACTTATATTGAAAAAATATGGTGTGTCCACTCACACGACATTCCTACCTATTTCAGAAAAGTTTTTATATCTTTACATATGTTCATGAAGAAACAAAAAAAATTCAACTAGATCTATTTTCCTGAAAATTGATCAAAGAAAAGATTCGAGTACGATTTATTTGATAAACTAAATCAATGTAAACCGGCTTAAGGTAAATCAGTGTAAAAATTTCAATACTCACTAATATTGCTGATCAAAAACTTTTTGTCATAGCTTAGTATTGCCAAACAATAATTTATGTTAAAAGTAGAGTAAATAGTGAAGCTTGTATGATGCGGGCAACAGATTTTCTTACTTTCACTTAGTCATCTTTTTTCTCTCATTCACCCCTTTCTGACACCAGGATACGAACCCGTAATCTTACATTATAAATTGAATAGCTGTAACTTCGTTAATAGTTGTCCAAAATGAACAATTTTTATATAGTTTTGTAGGGAATTTCATTACCTTTCAAAAAACAGACAATTATTAGAATATAATATAGAATATAACTATAGAATAACATTATGGTTAGAAAGTTTCATCAAAATCGTTAGAGCCGTTTTCGAGCTACAGTCTATAAAAAACATGTTTTTCATTTATTGCGCGCAAGCTATTGCGCATGGAGCACCGAATTTCTGTCACAGGCATCAGTAGTCAAAACCCTACAAAATAAAAAAAGAAGCAACGAAATCGGTTCAGTAGTTCCCGAGAAAATATCTTCACAGACAGATAGACTGATCAATGGATAAAAATGTAAGAGCTAAGAAAAAATACGGGACAGAGCTTGTTTAATATGTACGACCAAAGTTCAAAATCATAATTTATCAGGGGGAACTTTGCATTCCATCTTTCTGCTAAATACTTTCATTCTACGTCTACTTGGAAATTTACACTTTTAGACCTACATTATACTTATGACTAGATATGAAATAGATATACAGGGAATAGATTCCCTGTAAATTAGTTCACGACTGTAATACACATCTACTACTGCGCAGCCTCTAGTGTAGACACGTCTTAAACGTGCGCTGAAATCATTCATGAGCATCGGAAATTCATCAATGGATTAGCGCTGAGTTTATGAACTTGGCCTATCCTCACTGATAGTAGACGTAAAAAGACCTGTATCTAAGAATCACTTGAATTGATAAAGAGTCCAATTGATATCAAGCAGGTGTATACATATAAGTTTACAGTAAGGCATATACCCTCAAACAATAAGAAGCTGTAGCATAGTTAAGTCTACTGGCGCCCAGGCTAAACTTCTATTTCTTTAAATGTATCCCTAACATTTCCCTTTGACGTAGAACATATTTAAAAAAATAATTAAAAATTGTTTGATTTCCATTCTTTCCTGCTTCAGTTGGTTGCGGAAATACATTGGGGAAAACCCGGATCAAGAATGGAGCAAGATATATGATCATCGGCACCAACGACGTCATCGCATGATCCCACTGTTATCCCTTGTAGTAGAGTTCAAAGTTAAAAATAAAACAAATAATCCCTAACTTTTTTATCACGCTTGCACAAACCAAGGGTTCCCCATATTGAGGCATGTTTTATACCCTACCTTTTCATAATTATTTCTATATATTATACCCTCTAGTTTTTTAAAAATATTTTTTTATCTATTGTAATTTAAGAAAATATAATGAAAGCAATAAACAACTATTACTTATACAAAACATGAGGAGTTGGCCGTGAGTGTGGTCAGTATATATCTTATATTTTACCAATAAAATACAATTATAATATACAGCATTGTATTTGTAGCATATATTGATCACACCCCCTACAAACCACTCAAATCATAATTACAATCAATAATCTTGACGCCATTAATAAAATTATTAGAACGATTGGGCTGTTAATTTTGTCATTTATACCATTCATGCCGAGTCTAAACTTTTGTCACTGGAAAAGAAATAGGGTTGCAAAAATAAAAATTTAAAAGCCTATTCACCGGGCCGCGTGTTCATGCTTCCGCTGTAAAAATGTTATAATTCGAAAATAATGATTTATTTTATTGAATACCAGCTTTACCCGGCCACGCGCTGCTGTGGCTTAGCCTGGCAAAATGAAAAAGAAAGAACATAGAAAGCAAATATGAGTAGATTAGTAGCAAAGGACATCTGTCATTTTTAAAAAGTTGGGAAACAAATTTTTCTGTAAAATGGCTTCAATTTAAACTAATTCTAATGTTTTTTTTTCTCATAATTCAAATTCATCATTCATAATCATCTGAGTGAATAAACCGTCATTCATAATCATCAGAAACATTCTGAGTTGAACTTATAAAACTAAATTAAAAAATTAATAAAAAAAGTATAATAGCATTCACCTACATATAAATTCTTCAAACGATAATTTCAATTACTGTTGCAATTATAAAACTTTCGATTAATCAATAAAAAAAAAAAAAATGCTTGCCTACCTTCGGTAGTGAGGAAGAAAAAGGAAACGGCCTTTTCATATATAAAATTATCGTAAGATAGAAGTACTATGCCAGAAACCTTCCCAGGAGTGTACGGAACAACTTCTTTAAGTTTCATGGCGATCGGTTGAATGGTTTAGTAATGCACTAAGGACAAAAAGACGGACAGACAGATATACATTCATTTTTATATATATAGATCACAGGTGCAAATTTAATACTGCTTACGTTGAACTGGTAGCGTTATCTTCTAGTCCTCAAGAGGAATTATGCAATAACTTTATTTTGTATTGTAGTTTAGCTGCAGTTATCTATTTGAATTCAATACAAAAAATTATTGTGAAGAAAGAATGCAAAGCATTGAATGAACTTACGAAGGAACTGGCCATTGGCAGCATTCGAATTAAGTGAAATCAATACAAAATTTAAAACTTAGAATGCATCTGAAAAATCATGAATATCGGGTTGTGGCGTTGTAGCAGCAAATTAGAGTTATGATGCGCACAACCTTTAAATCTCACTGCGCTGCGTAATTTCTGAAACCATTTATTAGATGTTCACAATGATTTATCGGAGTGAAGCGTCCAAATTTTTTTTTCTTTACTTACTTTTATTCAACACATTTGTTAGTTGTATTCTAAAAAAAAAAACTGTGCATTCGAATAGAGATTTTTCTTATAATTTAGCATGTGTTGACTAAGAAACCGGTTTGTAAGCAGTGGTCTAGAGCCGGTGCAATATATTTAGTCTGGATGGAAGCTTCGATTGCTTATCTCATTATCTTCTTGATTACAGCGTATTTCCGAGGTCGTTCCTCAACGAACGTTTCACGAACTCTTCTCTTTCCTTCTAATCAGACGGCCTTCTCCGTATCCTACATCAATTTCTTTAAAAAAAAAAATTGCTTTGTTTCTGTTCACTAAATTCTTTTTTGTAAAATGACAATTATTAAATTATTTTTTAAAAACCAAAGTAGAAAAAATATTAGTACTACATGACTCTGTAAAATAATTTTGGATTCTTGTTTTTATCGTCGCTGCATTAAAAACAATTTTTATTCCAAACTATTCAACATGACTCCACCTATCCACACGAAAACTAGCAGGAATTCGGGATCCTATAAATCAAAAGAAAGGATACAAACCAGATATAAAATAAAAATGTTTGAGGAGTTTTCCTTTATTTATTCTTTATAAAGGTGTAAAATCTAAAAGTTTTTAATATGGTTTGGAAAAGCAAGAATTCAGCTTTCCAATGTTGGATTAAGAAAACATCCTGAGCATTTATGAATGCTTAGTAAAGATGTTGAAAACAAAAATCCTTCTTTGAAAATCAAATCCAAAAATGTACAAATTTTTATATTGAAAACAAGTGAAAAAGAACACTAGAAACGAACCTGAAACGATTTTTAATGAGAAAAATTTACTTTAGCGTCTTTTCTAGTTTATTAAATTATACATTTAATTTCAGTCAATTAAATCAGTAACATTTTTTTATTCATTTATACAAATAAAATTTATATATTTAATAATCTAGAAACCCATGCAGAACACAGCCGAAAGTAATAATAATATAATTTTTTCATAGTATTTTATATTATGTATTTATATAATTTTAAATTTTATATTTATTATATGATCGGGATAATTATAGATTCATTAGTAATTTTATTTTATTTGTTTTTAATATTGGTATATTCCAATGGGAATAGAAAATATACTTTTTCACTTTTCCTGAAAATTTCTCAAGGATGATTAAGGCTGGTCCATATAAAATAGACAACTCTTATGTATATATATAGGAGGTGCCTCAGTTCCTAATGTCCGAATTCTGGGAGATCATTTTACAACAAACTTTTCAACAAAAAAGTACATTTGATGGTTTAACACCAATTTTAATTTTTTCTTAAGATGATCACGTTTTACTTAAAAGAAGGAATTTCACTCAAAAACTGTTCAAGATAAATAAATTCTAAACACACCACCGTAGAGTCCACAAAATGTTCTTTGAGAACAGTGATTAAATTTACTAAGGTCAATGCTAAAAGGGACTTTGAGAAGGTCTAATATGACGGCTATACTGCTGCAGTTTGTAGTGCACGTATTGGGTTGGCAAATAAGTCCTTTCGGTTTTTCAGACATACAATTTATTTCAATCTACTATATACTGTCCATTATTTTATATATATTACTTTTTCCCATCTATCCATTGCATAACGTTCATAGAATGCCTGGAGTTTATTGTTAAAAAACTGATCCAAGTTGTTATTGTTGTCCTCTTTCTTTTGGAATTTCTTTTCATTCGTGGAGTTCTACAGACACCGGAATAAGTAATAGTCACTTGGAGCTATGTCTGGTAAATAGGGAGGGTGGGGCAAAAGGTCCCATCCAAAGCTCAATACTTTATTACAAGTGACCAATGAGGTGTGGGACCTAGCGTTGTCTTGATGGAACACAACACCATTCCGATCATTCATAAGGATGTTCTCCAAATTCGATGTTACTATGTCCATTGGAATGCTGAATTATTGCTCTTCAAAGCCGTATGAATGTTTTTTTTTAATTTAATGCATACATAAGGAAAAATAAACAAAAGCTCCTTATAGGTTTTTATTGTTTATCTCGATTTGTAGTTTGTTTAAGAAGATCCTATTGATGTCATTTTGTTTAATCTATGTGGCTCTAAATTCCTGCTAAATTTCTTGTAGATAGCCAAAGTCGTACTAATAGTTTTTGTAATTTTAGAAAAAAAAAATCATGTGAGGGACCCAAACATTAAGCATGGAAACAGCCGAGGTTGTGCAAATGGTTTTGTAAGCTTGTATGCGACACATTTAGGGCCATATCACTCTCTGGCAATGAGTGAGTGGGATTTTTATCAACAATGGCCTTAACATTGCTCGTTTCAATTTCATGTGGGCGACCAGACCGTTGAGAATCATTGAAGTCAAAATTTCCTGAATTAAATTTGGCAAACCAATTTTGACAGGTGCATTCGGTTCAAGACATCATCCCCATAAACATTGCAAATTGTTCGATGAGCTTCTGCATCACGCGTACCTTTTTTAAAATAATACAAAAAAATATGGCGATAATGAATGATGTTTTCTTTCATATTCACAATGCAAAAGCAAGCACAATACTAATCTAGTTTCAACAAGAGTTAACTGATATAGTTGTAGACATATTACAAACAGGATAAATAATCCACCTAAGGGATTAATTCATTAGATAAGAAGTGTATCATAGTGACATAAAAATAAAAATCGAAAGAATTTATTTGCCAACCGAATACATGGCCTATGCATCAAATGAACTTTTTTGTTGGATATTTCATCTACTAACACCTTCATTGAGAACTGAGACACCCAGTAGATATTTAATCTCAAAGTTTCCTTGATAAAGGTATAGGAGAGTAAAAGGAAATGACGTCACTCAGAAATTAGTCGTCCTTGACCAAGTGCTAACTAAATTTTTTTGTGTGTGTGATCATCGAGCTTTGCTGGACAGAGAAGAAGTTATAATCTTAAATTTACAATTTCATTTACCAAATATTGAATATATATATCGACTTCTCAACAGTAAAAATGGCCTTTTCTATATGTTTATTACTTTCACTTATCTATATATGACATATATAGTAAGAAAATGTATTGCGATCGTATAAATTTTCGACTCTGAGTTTTCAACAGAAACTTTTGGGGTCCTCTGAGTTCAAATATCCATAAAATTGTCTATTTGTATGTGAATAGCCTAGCTAAAAAAATTGTCAAAGGTATATGGCTGGGATGTTACAGCAACCTTTTCGTCGAAATCGGCTTACTGAAAACGCCACTTAATATCAACGGTGATACAAATTTTTACGATTTTCTCGAAAACAGCTCTAACGATTTTGATTAAACTCGGTATATCAGCAAATTATTAAGTTGCTTTTATTAAGTTCTTATCCCCATTGAAATCATTTTACAGGACTTAAATACCCAATGTTCATATACGTCTTCCTCTAAATTACCTTTAATTTGGTTTAATTTTAAAAAGTAATTCTCTCTGATTGATAGTAACTATAAAAAATGGCTAAATATAACTTATGAAAGAATTTGATAATTGAATAAAGAAGAAAAAAAGAAAAATGATTATGCAGGTCGAAAATGAATCTCTGGAAATAATTGAATAATTAAATGATCTTTAAAATCAGATAGCTCCTATCCCCATTCATGTCGCTTAACAGGGCCTAAACGGCCAATGCACAAGTTTTCTCTAAATTATTCACCATCCTGATGCTTCTAGATTTCTCTAAAGCATTCGACTCAGTTGACCATAATATCCTCCTAACCAAACTTAAAAATATATCCTTATCATCCAGTACCCTTAAGTGGTTCTAATCCTTTCTCACCGATCGCTCCGAGTACGTTGTAGTTCCTAATAACCCTCAATCACTGTCTCTGTCCAGAGGAGTCCCACAAGATTCCTCATTATCCCCCACCCTCTTTTCCATCTACATCAATGACCTCCCTTCCTCTATCATGCACTGTCAGTATCACCTATATGCCGATAACGTCTAAATTTATCTTTCCTTCAACCCGACGGAATGCTGTCCTGAAACTGCGACAAAACATCAATAGAATATGCGCATGGGCGAATCTTAATAAGCTGACAATAAATACGGAGAAGACAGAAGCCATTCTGATCGGATCCCCCTCACTCCTCAAATCCATTTCAGCACCTCCTAATCTTCTTCTGAACAACTCACCTATGTCCTTCCATGCCACCGTTAAAAACCTTGGCTTACCCTCGATCAAACCCTCTCCTGGAAACCACACATTTCCCAAATTTCCCGCCGAAATATATCCACCCTGAAACAGTTTAACCATCTACGTTATCTTCTTCAGTTCAAAACCCGTCAACTCCTGATCTCCTCCCTTGTTTTTCCCCACTTCGACTATGGCTGCATGGTGTATGGTGGACTCCTGGGAGAATTTGAAGCTAAATTTAAACGTCTAATGAATTGCTCAATCGCTTTATCTTCGGGATCTCAAGGCATACGCATATTGCCCAGTTTTACACCGAGTTGAAGTGGCTTTATCCATCCTAGTTCCGTCAGTATCTCATTGCTACCTTCCTATACTAGGCCATTAGAACACGGCGACC